AAATGTTTGTTGAGGTGTTGATAACACAGAGTTGTCAATTGCTAAACAATCTTATGTCTATGCTCTGGCGGAACAAATATTTATCTATAGGTAGTGTTTGTCACGGCGGGGTTGCTGGTGCAGTACAAGCGCAATAATTTACCGTGCCCTTTACCAGAAGGAGAAGAAACGGGGTAGTTTTTAGTTACTAAGAGTACACACACTACCTCTCTTCTTACCCACACATACCATTTGTTGTTTTTACCCCTTTTTTTATCCCCTAGTTGAATGCTAATATTATTACAAGTATCTGAACACTCAAAGTAAGGATCTCAAAACAATCTGTTGCTATTTAATTTTTATCTAAGAAAAGTAAAAAATATTTTATGCTAATTTAATTATAATAATAAGCTTTTGCAAAAATATTTATGTACAAGGTGGACTTAATGCTATAGGCATTATCAGCCAGTCGAACTTTTGGGTGATGTAGAGATGAGTCAACGGCAAGTAAATAACTTAATAAATTGGAATATTTCCATAATTGTATCATCATCATCATCAGCCTATAAGTGCCCACTGCTGAGCAAAGGCCTCTTCTCATACGGAGAAGGTTAGAGCGTTAATCACCACGCTTGCTCAATGAGGGTTGGCGATTTCAAACTTATAATTAGAAATTATAAGTCCAGGTTTCCTCACGATGTTTACCTTCACTGTTTGTCAGTGGTGTCTAAATAATCATAGAAAGTATATATAACTCGGAAAAAGTCACATTGGTACTTTTTATAATTTTATGTTCTAATGGATTGATCGAACTTAAGAATTAAAAAAAAAGAAAATGTAGTTTATATGTACCTCACTGTACTATATACCTCATACTATTAATTTAATTGGTCGTCTAACATAACATTACCTATATTTGCTGTACACAAATATATAAACAAATAAATAAGACTATGCGAACGTCTTGTCGTTAAGTATGAATAAATACATATAAATAAAACTTGAGCAACTGCGAGCTCATTAGCTCATCGCGTTAAGTAACATATTTCCTTCAACTATGTGCGATTACACGGAAAGTCGAACACACATAATTACTGTATTTTCTCGCACATTAAGATGCTATCTTACTTTGTACATCTTCATTAAAAACTTCAGTCTTCATCCTAATGAATGTACTTATTGGATTCCTATTTTAAATTTATTGAATTCACAGAGTAAAAAGACTATTTTGAATTCTTTCGATTTTAGAAAGACGTTTTTTTCTTTTCACCCTGGAAAATTGTCGAATGACATGGTTAGGGTTTCCTTTCCTGTCCTGCCCTAGTAAGCGTGAAATGGAGCTTCAGACTTTAACAAACTTAAATATAACTCGATCCTTCTCCTGCTACAAGCCAGGGTGCTGTATATCATTATTCTTGTATCCAGTTGCATGTTCATCCAGGGTTGTTTCTGGCTGAACACAGGCTCCAGTAGGTCCAATGTTCTGTGGTGATATAAAATGGCTCTTTTTGGTGGACCGCGACCAGTTTAGGTAGGCTAAGTCACTATTTAAATCGAATTGTCAAATCTGATAGAAATATCATAACGTTTGGTTTTTTTTTACCTCACATACAACATTCAGCTAAAAAATGCGTAGATTTCCTATATTATTTCTAGAAGTCTTCCACAGAATTATAGGAGAAAAGTCCATGATTAAATTCATTAAACTGAATCCTATGTAGGCCTATGTTTGTAAAATGCTGTGAAAGAGTCCAAAACGATGTATCTCCGACTTAAAGCAAGTCATACAATACACTCTACAGTCATACTACATATATGTATTAGGTGAGTTAACCCTACTGTAGTCGTTTTGGATAATATGAAAAAAGAAACTATAACGCAAACTATCTACACATAAGTTTATCATTATATCGTTATATATCATTCATACAAAGTGCCGGAAAATGGGATGACCCCATCATACGAATACAATGACCGCTTCGACCATTGTATTGTATACAACATTTACCAATATCTTCACGCTTTCATTTCCTTATGAAGTGAACAAACATCTTGTGTGGGAGGAGCAGATTCTAACAATACTGATGTCGAATCTGTTGGACTAGAATTTGGGAATAACAGTATAGATTCATTGATAAATGTAGGATTCTCGCAGTATTGAAATCAAATCTAAACTATTCGAAGCAAAATGATATCATCAATAAAGTTTATATTCGTTTTTTATGTGATAGGACTGCAAACGAGATTCCCTATTACCTGATGGTAAGCAACCAGTATCGCCAACAACGCAGGAGTTACCAGAACGTTACCGGCCACTAAAGGATAAGAGTTTTAAGAGAGAGATTTAGGGCTTGAAGATAGATTGGGGGAGGGGGGATATTGGGCTTCCGGTAACCTTACTCACACGACGAAACATAACGCTGTGTTTGTTTTAAACTGATTTTTTGTAAGGCACTGGTATGGCCGTGGTATCCAGTCGAACCGACCGATGCGTGCCGAAGCATGGATTTCCCACACTTAAAGATCTTAGAAAAGCAATTTTTCTACAGTTACTTTTGAATGTGGAATCGGCTAGTATTCATCGATCAAGTATCAAAATAAAAATAAATATAAATGGAAAACTGAAGTGGTCTGTTATACCGCAATAAGTATATTAGTATAACTAAAAAATACACCAATAAAATAGGAGAGTCTAATTACAATTTGTTGCACGCATCAAACCTCACTGTTGTTACAATTACAAAGCATGTGAAACTTCCAAACAAAGTGTTGCGTGAACTATTTATAACACGAAGTAGTGTCATTGTTCTTCATATTGTATTCCTTTCAAGGCTTTCATAAGCTAGAAAGGAAGGCAAGTGTTTGAGATTTGATACGAAATTCATATATGACAACAACTAGAGGATGTTTGATATGTGTATTACGTCTAAAAAGAGATGAATTAGACTGCTTTTGAGAACAAAGTTATCTACTCCATTTTTTGTAAATAATCAAAATGTAGTAAGTACTGAAAGTCGATTTAAGCATTTTCTCGTTTTCCACATATTTGGGAGATTTACAATATGTGGGAGAGCCAAAATTCAGCACGAATGGGTTGGCTCGACCGGTATATCACTATATCACGGCCACACAGAAAACGGCGTGAAACAGCCACACACGACGAAACAACGCTGTGTTGTTTCGTCGTGTGTGTTACCGGGGGCCTACATTTATTGGTTTATTATTATTACCATCACAGAGGAAATAATATTACCTATACGTTTATCTAATATTATAGACAATATGATTTCAAACTAATGATAACAAACTTTTGAAGAAGACTTTCGAAACAAAAAAAAATACAAATAATATCTACCTATGTATGTAAACTGAATTGAAGCAAAAACCTATATCTAGTTCATTTTTGTCTGACAGAAACCTAGGAAAGTACCAACATACTATCATTATACTAATAATAATATCATCATCTTCCTGCCCTTGTCCCGTTTTATTTGGGGTCGGCGCAATATGTTTTTTTCTTCCATTCTGTCCTGTCACTCGTCACGCTATCACTAACTCCTCTGTCTTCCATATCACTTCTCACACAATCCATCCATATTTTCTTTGGTCTTCCTCTCCCTCTCCATCCATCCACATTTATACTCATGACTTTTTTTTTGTTACATGCTTTTCATCCCTCCTTTTCACATGGCCATACCAAGACAAACATATCATTATACTAATAACTAGCTTCATATACTTTAATAATAGCTTATTAGTACTAACTAAATATTAGACTGTATACCCTATATTACAATTTGCGTGACATACCGTGTGTCTCGGCTCCGAATGTCTCTGCGCCACTGACATACAAATTGTACCGTTCAGAACTTGTTCCGAAACCTTTTGGTCACATCACTGTCTTAGTGGATGGATGATTGTATTCTTATTAATAGAAATGAACAAATTGGTAAATTCAGTTTATTATTTTACAAACCTAGTAGCTGAAGTAGCGCTTTATTCATTAGTGTAAATGGATCTTAAAATCTCGTGAAGGTACAATAATGCTTTTTATTTTGAGAGGAGAAAATAATTATATTATGAGAATATTCTTAAAGAGAGAATAATTATATTATGAGATATACTTAAAACTTCTCTCATCCTGGGTGTGGTAAAAGAGAGAGCTACAAATCACCCGTTCCTTCTCTTGCTTAAGGCCGAGGCCGAGCTACAACATTGCGCTTGGGTCCTAACCCCGGTTTCCGTACAAAGACTCGATCAAAGATTTAAAGCTTGATACAGTACAACGCAGTCGTTGTTTCACGTCGGCCATTGCATCGCTCAGGCTGAGCCGGTCCAACGCCGAGCTCCGCCGGCTCTATCACTCTCAAACGTGTTCTCCTATTGTATCCTAGTCCTGTTGTTTTCAAATATTTTTCACGTGATTGGATTGAACTCGTAAGTTCACTTATAAATAGATAATATAATACCTATACAACTAATACCTATGCTAGCTAATTTATGAGAATTAGGTGTACCTACTCCTGTCTATGTCTTCCAAGATAAAAAGGCTTGATGTTTTTCTTATTTACCACTTTTAAGTACTTTACGTATCTAATATTACAAACAAATAAACATGTTGAAATGTAGGAGCTATAAACCCCTGGTCGTGGATTTGTGTGCACGTCAGCACTTAGAAGGTTTCATTTGAAAAGAACAATAAATGCAGAAACAAACACATTGAAATATTTGAATGTTGTCTGTGTACTTATTCTTGCATAAACTCAAAAACCGCTGTGTCGAATAAAATGTATTGTTATGAGCAAAAATGGTATGATATCATCGTTTTTGTCAATGACTTAAGCAGTACCTATTGGCTTATTAGATTTTATTAGTTTTATTAAATTTATAAATGTATCCGTTTCCTAAAGGTCAGGCTACAAGAGATATATTTTGACCTTGATGACTAACTGACATGTTATGCAAAGAAAGTATTGTGTAAATACGCCTTATTGCAAAATTTTACTCGTTTTAACACGTACCTTGATAAACGTACTTCCTATAATCACAAATCACTTCACAAACTGCACAACATTACATATTTTTATTTATAAATATTAAATAACACTAACGAAACTAAATACACTATACACCGACTCAAACACTCCGCTAACTTTGATACGTACTGTCAAAAACTTGCACCACCGGTCTACGGTACCGGATTAGCATTCTACCTCTCCCTTTCTTGCCTTTAAACTAAAAGTAAACAAAAGAGAGAGACAACAAAAACCCGTCAGCAACGTCTTTCTACCTCCGCAGATAGAGCCTTTTTGCACAGGTAAAAGTAACGGGGTTTTTCTTAAGATGCGTGATGTGAGACGGGAGATTTGAGGTCAATGTGGTTAGAGAGAGAAAAAAGATCGACTAGGTCACGTTCTTAGGGGGTCCGTTGCATTCAGAGAAGTGTTTTGGTACTAAGGGAATTAAGTTCCCGGTATGGTTTTTAAGGGTCATTTTGTATTTTTTTGGGTCAAATTGGAGTGACCGTTTGAAACTAAATAGGTGCGTCGTTTTTTTGAATGCATTTGTCAAAGAACTGGTCTATAGATATGTGCTAATAGAAATGCTATGCATGACTGGTCGTCGGTTGCAGAGTTATTTAGAACTCAACGTGAATTAGCATATGTTAAGATAGGAGACACGCCTATCATAAGCGTTAAAACATCATTGTTGGAAATACGATAATGTCCATGATTTTTCGTCAAAGGGGAAATGATTCTAGGGTAGATAGGAGTTCGACTTCTGACGGTCCTATTTAGATCTCTCCATACTAAAACAATACAAACTGTATCGAATCTTATAATCTGGACTAAAATCTCGTGAGACCAACAACATCGTGGTATCTCATAAAATGTGTAACTCGCGACCATTATAACAGTATTCAAGTTTCGTCATAACTTCAAGGTCGAAGCAAATGGCGCTAGTGTAACTTTTTGGCCGTTTTTAGAGTTAAAAGCTGTAAGATGGCAAAAGTTTGGAAAGATATTATTATTTGATGTTGTACTCTGGAAGTCATGTGGTATGTCACCATTTCTACCTTTCCCGTTAGTGTCATTAGAGCTGGCTAAGGGGCTCCTGACAGAGAAGGGGTAGCAATGCAGCAATTTGGACCTTTTAAACAGCAAAACAACTCGCATATCGAGCTTCAACTGCATTAGAAGTTAGAAAAGGCCTATTTGCTCAAGAATAATATACGCAGGTTGGTGTTGATTATTCTATAGAGGACTGTACTAAGTTCAGTTTTTTGTGTGGTAACAAATTAAAACGTTTGACTTACTTAGGACATGATACCAAGAAAATATGTCGTGGTTTTTACTAGCGCGGCAAGGAAGCAACGATAGCGCCTGACGAAAAACAATTCCGATCAACTTAAAACACCTGGGTGTGAATTGCTGATGTATTTGGCTTTAGAAAAGAGTTGATACCGTTTTTTTGTCAGGGGAAAAACGCCCTGCCAATATGTCGGGGCGAAAGGAGTCTCGTACTGACAAAACCTCCCGTTCCTTCTCCTGCTCTAGGCTGGAACCACAGTGCCTCATTGCGTTTACCCCGCAACCCCAAAACCGTTAAGATAAGCATTATAACACAGCATTAGTTTAAAATAAAACATTGAGACTTATTTATTGATTGAACAATCATAATTCTGGAATTTAATGTTGTTTTGTGGTGGCCCAGAAGTTAAGGCGCCTGCTTCTTATGCATGCTTATTGATTTATAATGTGATTCTAAAATAATTGAAACGTCAACATACCTACGGTAGAGGAAAACATGGAGAAGAAACCTGGCTCTAAATGGGAATTAATGCTAAAATCTCCTCCATGTGAGAAGATGCCTTCAAGGTTTATCATGATATTAAACATTATATTTATTTTTGATTTAATTCTTTGAATGTCTCTACTTCATTTTTTCCTGTCGATATTTTTGCATTTTACATTTTTCACTTGCCATACTGGCCTTGAACATAAATGTAACGATTTGACTAGTAAATTGAAATTATAACGAAATTATTGCCAGCTTTACACTGGCCGCAGACAGCCGTGGTAATTCTAATTTTTATCGGTCATTGACTTGCTTTTGTGCAGTAGAGTTGGCACTTGGTGACAAATAGTAAATTGTTTTTTAAAACGAGATATGTACATTAACAATTTCACCAAAAATTATTTAGCTGTTTCAATGATTGTGAGTGTTACTACAACTATATGTGTAATAGGAGTAAATGTATTGTTACCTATACATTAAAGGCAACGTCTTACTTAGTAATCGTAAAGTAAATCACACTACTGATTTAATTTCATTTTCCAGTTTCCGATATGTAATCCAATACGTATTTAGCCATTTAAATGTAGTTACATTTTAGGGTTTTCTCCTGTTGCGTGGGTGTGTTTCCAAAGATGCAATTTGACAAATAATCATCACACTCAGATTTAATACTAAGGATTAATAAACTATGGTTCCTACAAATAGTTGATCCGTGTTGGATTCCAACCTGCGACAGTCCACGTTGCGCAGGAGTCACTTAATCGGCCACTTCACCAACTAAAACCACGGTCTCCTAGGAAACTATTGTGAAACAACGTTGCGAGCGTTGTGTTTTGTCGCGTTTATGAGATTACCAGAGGTCTAAACCAGCCCATATCGCTAAGCACATATCCCTGTTCAACAATTAGTTTCCAAATCACTGAATCAAGAATATCCAATTGTTATATCAGGTAATCAGGGATGGGATTTTATCGATCTTACTTCTAGTGTTGCTTGTATCCGTGTTGCACGTCGACCACCATTAGGTAACCTGTCTGTTCGTTCGTGGTAATGTACGATGAAAAAAGTATAAATGTTTTTTACTACAGTCATACTTTTAAGTGAGAGTAAAGCTTCGACTCAAATATATCACAGGAAACAACCACAGCATTGAGTTTCGCCGTAAGGTTACCGAAGGTCCAATCTTTCCCTTCCCCCCTACCTCCTCAATCTCTAAATCTACGAAGCCCTAATCCTTAAAAGGCCAACAATTCACTCAAAACTCCTTTAGCCTAGTGTTGCGAGTGTTCATGAGCGGCGCCAAATGCTTACCTACTATCAGCAATTTGCAATTATTAATTTTATTTATTCATAAATAATTTTTCCCATTGTTTTGATTTCTCTAATGTCATATTCTTCTACAACATAGTGCTGCCATCTATGAAATGAGACACGAACTACCGTGTACAGATGGTTGCGGTAAAATATGCGTATGAGCACTGAGCATAACCTTTCACGATTATCACTAGTTCTTAAAAATGCCGCTAAATAATCGTAGCGCTAAATTCGCCCTTCATTATTATACATTGACTTTATAGATGGGTCTGTCCCGTTCTAAGGCTTTGCATAATGGGGACGATGATTCAGTCAAAAAGAAATGATGTGTCCTAATAAATATATTAGATTATTAAAATTATTAGCGAGACACTCATTGGTCGATTTTATTTTAGGCGAAGTATTAGTACTTTCCTTCCTAGTTTAAATTCAAAAATATCATGACATCATAAATATACAGATAACTTACAGGATGATATTAATACTTTACACCAGTGGAGTTATGAGAATAAACTACACTTTAATACTGCCAAGTGTAATGTAATGACCTTGAGTCGAGCACATAATCCTTTGCATGTTGAATATTTTTTGGGATTACAGCTCATGAATCGTATCCACACCGTAAAGGACTTAGGTGTAATTTTCTACCCTCGACTGAACTTTCACGAACATATGAGGTTACTTACAGCTGAGTCTTATCGCAGATTAGGTTTCGTTATCCGCAATATGCGTGAATTCGATAATCCGTAAGCTCTCAAACAGGTGTACATGGCCCTAGTTCGTACAAATCTGGAGACAGCATCTATTGTATGGAATCCTCATGAGAGTACTTATGCTTTATTGCTGGAGAACGTGCAAAAAGCATTTCTTAGATTTCTGTACAAAAAGATATTTGGATATTATATAGGCATGTTAAATTTTAATTCTTTGGCAGTGAGACGAAATTACTCTCTTATTATTTCAACTTGTAGTACATTGCGAGGACAATCTGACTGTCCGGAGCTGGTGGCACAGGTGGTACAGTTGTTTGTGCCCACAGTTGTTTGTGAAGCATCAGCTTAGGCACCCCTTACTGGCTGTCCCGGTAACGCGAACTGTCGCGCATGCAAATTCTCCGCTTGTTCGAGCATTAATAATGATCCCCGTTGGCATCGACACTAGATTGTAATTTGTTCGCAACGAGATGGAAGGATGTATGTCGTGAATGTGTAAGATTTTGTGAGAAGATAGATAGCTGATGAATTATTTTTTTATGTAATTACATAAGTTTAAAGTAGTAAATAAGAGTATAATGTTTTGGCTTATTTTGTAAAATTATGCATGTGTGTGTTTATAAATAAATATAAATAAATAAATATATTTATGACTCTCATACAAGATTCATTATAGAAATATGAATCGTTTCAAATATTTTCCATTCGTCTATTAAGAGAAAATTTTAAACTGCTTGCGCAATCGAGTAACAAAATAAAACAACAAAAGTTATCATAATTTATTAATTTATTTACAAACGATCCCACATAGTTGAAATAAGTACAAGACAAAATAATAATGGGTAGTAAGTAAAGTCGGTGGGACACAGAAAATAAATATTTTTTGTAATTTACAATTAGAACTAAATTATCAATACACTACATAGAAAATTTACATTAAAATCACAATGAAAGAATATCATTATTTACTGTCTTTGTTATCAACAATTTGCTCCGAATCGGTAGTCGGAGTTTGACTATGATTTCTTTTGATTTCTACATACATGGGGACATAAGTACGATAACCAGATACTGATTGCTCTAAACGTTTTTTTCTATTATTCTCTGGATTCGCATTTAAGTCTGCATCACTTTTCTTTAAATTTTGATTGATGTTTCTATAATGACCATTTATTTGTGGTACATACGTCCACTCTGTTGTGGTTTCATCGACTTTCTCTGTACTTTGAAGCGTAGGAGCTTCCGTAGTGGTTCCAACGTATTCATTTTTAAGTTTCACAATAAGTGTACTAAGTTCTTCTTGATCACTGATATCTCCGCCAGAATTTCGTCTACTTATCTGTATGTTCGGTTGGTTGTTATTTCTTCTTTCTAATTCTAAATATTGATTAGGCACTTTTGCGTCTTCTGCATTAAACTGAAACACTTCAGTTGGAGCTGGCCAAAGATGCTCGGTTGTCAATTCAAAGAATGGTATGGTTGTCACTTTTGGCAAAGTTGGTTCTGTCTTTTGTTCAACAACAGGTATATAACCCGAGCTGCCTACGTGATGATCTTCTATTTGCGAGGTCGATAATTCTATCGGAGCCTTCGTAGTATAAGGATTCGTTTGCGTAGACGGTATCGTAGAATGGACTCTGATCGTTTCGTTTTTTAAATCGTTTTTTTCATCAGGACTATACACCTTAACATGTACTATCATTTGTGTACCTTCTGCTGTTGGTGTTTCTTTATTTTGATTGTCTTTAGGTTTCCCAATTTTGTTTTGTTTATTTATTAAGTTACTTAAATATTTGGGTCTCTTATATGGAGTAAATATTCGTCGAAAACCAACATTAGATTTTCTTTTAAATTGTATTAAAGGTCTTGAAGTTGTAAGGTAAATATTATCTAAAGATTTAACAGTTGTAGTGGGTTCCTTCTTAATGGGAAACAAATTAAGCATAACACTAAATGATTTGGTAGTACTCAATGGTGGAGTCTCTGTTGGTTTTATTTCAATAGAACTTGGAAAATTATGTTCGCATTTGTTACCCAGACAATTCCTTTTGTTAAATGGAATCTGTCGGAACATTGGATAATTGTGTGTAGTATCTAGACTAGGTGTAGGAATAGGTGCAAATCGCAAAAAATCGTCAGCTAACAGATTGACTTCTCCAGGACTTTCCGGTTTGAAATTGAAGAGTGGATCTGCTAGATGATTTGATTTAAATTGATTTATATTTTCTGAGCTTTCTTGTTGCAAATCTGACTTAGGATCTGTACCAACGCCTTTATTTTCCAGCATAGGTTCAATATATACACCTGTAAAAGCAATGTGTGTACTTGAGGGCTTAGAATGTAAGTCACCGGACTTTGCGTTTATTGTGGTTTCTAAATATTTTATTATTTGCCGAATATTTTTTAATCTTTCTTCGTTGCGATATCGCTCTATCCAACTTCTTGAACCGTAAGTTTTACTAAATGGAAGTGGAGTAGGACTTCTGTATTCAAAGAAAAAGGGTCTTGGACTTGTTCTTCTTACTGGGCTAGGCTTAAAAGTCGGTTTCGTTGTAGTCGGTTTTATTATTGTCATGTTATATCGTCTCTTGGCGAAAGGCCCTGTTGTTTCGATGGTTGGGTCAAAGTAACTGCTTTCTTGCAAAGCATTTATTAGCAAGGGCATACGTTCATAATAATCTTGATCGAGTCCAAAGTAACTACGGTCAAGTCTATCGGCAAAAGGTTGGTCCTTCCAGGTGGCATTGGATCTATTCGTGATTTGTTGGTTTTGTACTAAACTCCATTCTACAGCTATCGCGTATTCGTAGATTAGAAGAATTACCTGAAAATGAAAAAAAAAATATTAACATCAATCAGTTTTAATTTGTTAAAGCACAGAGAGTATTAGTTACTGGAATAAAAAAAAGGAAAATTATACATTGTTACAAGTTTTTTTTCTTAAACTTAAAATGCCTTGTTTTAATCATTTGGCTTTTATGTTTACTATACTATCAACAATGCCTCTAGAATAATATTGTCTTAATTTATCTAGGCATTAAAGTATACAACACAGGTATAATGTATGGATCCTGCAAAGTTTTGCTAACGTAGAGCATTTTTATAACTGTCCTAACATACTATATGTCAATTACTAGAAATTTGCTGTAGGTACACGTAAAGATGTAAGATAAGAGTATTCAAAAGTTACGTACGTACTCAGTTTGTTCTGCAAGTAAAATGTAAGATAGGAGCAAAGTACTTAGTGAAAAACAATGAATTTCTTATCCAAAAAATTACCAGCAAGTAAAAACTGCATCTTGATCTAATCCTCGTACGTTTTCATTCGATATTTATAATCAAACTCGTGGAGTTGTTTGACAAAATACCCATTGATTTATATGATTAAAACTCAAATAGTTCAGGTTCTTATAATAACTAAATAAATGATCCAGATACGACAATAGTTCCACAATAAAAAGCTTAAACAGAGAATACCACGTAATAACATTTAGTATATTTATTTTTATTTAGATTAATCTAAATAATATTTGGTAAATCAAAGATGTTATTGTTAAAATTAATATCGTAATCGGCGTGGTCATCCTGTCGCCATTCATTATTTCTCTGGATTTGTAAGTAACTTGGCCTCATTGAAGGCAACATTGATTTAGATGGTCTGTTTATTACTTTTTCGGTCTGTTCATTTTTATTCACTTCCCACTTATTTGGAGTTTTCATTTCTTCTAAATTCATATCTTCGGTTTTGTTTAAACCTTTTGGGCTATTAACATACTTGTTCGGGTCTTTAGTTGTAATATCCATTTGTCGGAAACTATATTCTTCTTGAAATTCATCGTCTAATAATATTTCACTAATATGTAGATCGTCGTTAAATTTTGTGTCTTCATTATTATAAGTTTTAATGTCGGACACTGGGTTTGTCATTCTTTTCGTGTCTTTTGAAGAAGTTGAAGGACTGATTCCATGGTTTTGGTGATTATCTATAGAATAAGTAGATATAGAGTCAGTAAGTAACGAGGGCTCAGTGTATTTTCTATGGAATGGAACAGAAACTTTAGCTTCTGTCGTATATTTTGTTTCTTTTGTAGTTTTTTCTTGAGGCGAATAAATCAAATCGGCCATTTTCCGCATCGAAACAAAATCTAAGTCTGGTTGTTTAGTCACTGGGTGAAAACTGGAAGATTTTAATTTAACAAACATTTTATTAATATTTGTAGTTGGTTGGGGGCTTATATAACTTGTTGTCATTTTATTTTTTATTAACTTTAAATTAGGAACATCGAGAATTTCTAGTTCACTCGCACTTTTGCTTGGTGTTGTTATGAAATAATCGTCGTATTCTTCTTCTTTGAATAGAGGTACATTCACACGTGGCCGATGTGAGCTAACAGTGTAAGTCTCTCTCAATTTTTTAGTGGTAGAGTTTTCATGAGAAGAATCAACAAATTTCATCGGTATAAATATTTCCGTTGTTGGATTTCTTATATTTGTCATTTTTGTAGACTTTTTTCTAATGTCAGGTTTAAAAATGAAGTTGTAATCGTAGTTAATTATTTCGCTTGGTAGTAAGGTGGGCTGTGTAATATTAATTTTTGTTGGCATCGGTATTGTGCTATGTCCGACAGTTTTCTTACTATCTTTGATTTCAACAGATATTGATTGATCGTCAAAAATTGTTGCGGTACTGAAATCGGCTGTAGAGGTGAACATTGTAGGCGTGGTAAGAGTTGTAGTGGTAGCAGTGGTACTTGAGGTTGTCCGAGGAGTAGTAGTCGTTCTAGGAGCAGCACTAGTAGTAGTAGTTGACGTTGTACTGGAAGTAGTAGTTTCAATAGAAATAGTTCCAGATGTGGTAAAAGTAGAAGCAATATTTTTACTCGTAATTACTTTAAATTTTCTTTTAGATTTACGTTCCGTATCGAAATATGTTCTTACAGGGTGCGCTGTGTATACTTGACTTTTGAATGGACTTGTTTTAGTTTTAGGTTTTCGTTTCTTTTCGTTTTGCCTGTAAGTCTTGTTTTGAGGTGGAACCGTAACTGATTTCGTGTTATTACCACAAGGCGCATGAGCAATAACTTTAGTATCCATAATATGAGGAAGTATATCTTGTATCCCAGCTATCAATTTACTTAACAAACTACCTAAGCTCTTTGGACATTTGCAACTAGTATGAGCCCCCTTTTCTTCCGATTTGTATTCCTTTGGGTTAAGTTGACTAAGGGAATGCGGATACTGAGGTAATTTTCTGGGCTTCGATTTTTTCATGGGTACTGTCTGAGCAACGAATGGTGTTTCAGTGTACTCATACTCCTTTCTCTGATTGCTTCCATTTTTATCATTGATCATTTTGTCAAAATAGTTTAACATTCTTTGGTAATCTCTTATCTTTCTTATTTTGGTGAGATAGTCCTGACGCTGTGTTGGGGTTTTCCAGAAAGTAAAGGGTGATGTTTTATAATCAAGTGTGTAGTGTCTTGTTGTTGGCAATTTTATCCAATTTTTAGAATCAGCAAAAAAATTTCTTGTAAATGTTTCAGTGGAGTCTTTTCCCGTAAAAGGCGGACTGGAGCTGGAGTAGTCTTCCAAGATTTTCTCTATATACCGGTTTTTATTTAAGGCCTTTAACAATATGGGTAAGAATTTTATTGTCGTTTTATCGAAGTTTATCTTTTTATTAAATTTAGAACTTATAGATGTAATGTCGCTGTCATTGATTAGTCCAATCCAGTTAGGTTTTGATGCGGTTTTTTTATTTGCATTTGCTTGAGAATTAATGCTGTATTCGTAGACCAGTATCACGGTCTGAAAATAAAATAAAAATACAATTAAAACATTATGTGCAATATTTATTCTAATATTTAGAATGTTCTAAAGTAAACATGTGTTAGATACATTTTAACGAACTATATAAACAAAAAAAGTTATTGACTAATACTTACCTTTAAACTGTTAGTTACGAAGGCAATAGATATTTCACAAGTAATTATTTCAATCAAAATATTAGTATTTTCTTGTAAGTAATACAAAAATCGGTCGTTACAACGCCGATACATAAAACAACAGACAATACACAATATGAGGCCGTATCTACTTTTTTTTTAAAGGAAAATTATGGAATAGTTTAAGTAATCGTCTCTGAGTACGCCATTAACATTCTAATTATACGTTTGAAATGGCCTATCTGCCTTTTGCAAGAGTGGTAATAAGTGCCTTCCTACCTTCTCTGTGTGAGAAGAGGTTTATGCTCAGCAGTGGACTCTAACTTATACGTTGATGATGAGGGCAATAAGATCGTTAATTCAAGATTTATTGTACAATAAAACGCCATGATAATCTTTATTTGTCATCGATTCCTATCTTTATTACTTTGTTTGCGTTTTTGCATTTATGTGGCTCATAGATGCATAATTATGCGTTACAAGATGTTATGTAAAGAAATCATTGTTTTACGGTCTATATCTATCACAGATTGTTATTAAGTATTATGTCATTCGGTTTTAATGTTTTTTTTTATGTGATAGGCCTCCAAATTAGCTGACGGACCATCTAACGGTAAGCAATCGGCGCCGCCTATGCACACCCCAATCACCTGAGGAGTTACGAGTGCTTTGCCGGCCTTTTGGGGATTAAAGTTACGGAGATTTAGGGATTTGGGATTGATAGGAGATATTGTTGTGTTATTGTTTAAAATTTTATTTTTAACCATCCGTTAAATATCTTCTCCGTGACATCGTGCACATCGTGGCTAAGGCTTTAAGTTAATGTAATAACATAAGAAATATTCTTTTTTTTAGTGAAATACTATACCATATATTATAGCACGAAAAAATTCTGACGAAAATATATTGGACAATGAGGCGTATTTTTTAAATTTTAATAATCTTTAGTTATTTTTTAAATCTCGGTTATAGTACCTAGTATTTTTCTGTAGGAATATATCATGAAACATTATTTAACAAGACTTTGTTACTAACAACAGAATGTAATGCAAGTTAGAGTGTTAAGGATCATTAAATTGTCTTAAAACCTTTCACTAAAACACTAGCTAAGAGACTATCGCGTTGTGACGTCACGGCGTGCGCCTGCGCCGATGAAGAAAGCAGAAAGTATGCACACTACACTCAATATGTTAACTACGTACATACGTTGTTCAGCTCGAAGATAAAATATGTATTAGCATTTTATGTTGTCTCCATAATTATTGCCACTCTGGTATATTTCTGTTGACCACGCGAGCTAGTGTTCGCGGAATTTTATTACTGTTTATGTGAGTATCTCTGATAGATACTTGCGTATTGAGCCATATATACCAAAAAAGAAAAGGGGTCATTAAATATATATATATATATATATATTTAAATGGTTATCACGAAAAATTTGTAATAATACAGATTTAATTATGATTAAATATTGTAAAGAATGAGATCGATCGGATGGGTCGATTTTTGAGAAGTTTTACAATTGACTATTTGACAACTAAGTAAAATTAAATAAATATTTTCGAATTGTCAAAATCGAGAGATTCTTATACGGGTTTTTTTGTGACGGATTGCATACAAATTGTCATTCACTTCACACCTAAAACTGAATCAAAAATTTGTTGACCACACAACGTTGTCCGTGCAGGGATCAAATCCTAACGTAGCGACACGTTGCTAACCAGCCGGTTGCCTAGCAACCGCGTCAACGCTGGATTAAAATTAAATGCACTCATGTGTTGGTATATAAGGTGGAAAGTGGTCACGGTTGTGTACGGACGTCGATGCGTCACAACTCACATAGCATAGCGTTCAAACACAAAGTTGAAAAGTCTCTCATGCCTATAATTACGGCGACAACTTGCCCTTTAAAGTAGAACAGTTATGTCGATGGACGACAAGCATGTGGTGACATTCTTTATAGTGGTTGTGCCTTGGAGTTTCTAGAAGCAGTGTTCGTTTTAGTTGATTTAGTAAAAAGAAATTATTACAGTTTATCATTGCGATAAAATATTTTTAAAATTGATAAATTTTCGTTTAAAAATTTATCGAAATATTACTTTGTATATCGTATTTTTTTTTTCAAAAAGAAGTTTTTAGTTTCCTAAGTACACACACACAATCGCATCCAATATTCAAAGAAAATTGTTGATTTTGACAAATTTAATTCGACTAGTTGTTACGCATTTAAATGTTGGTTATTATTACAGTACGTGGTTTTAGGTTTAAATAATTACTGCCATTTAATATTTTTTTTAGGTTTAAAAAAATATGAAATGTCACTACCTAATTATTTTAAATAATACCGCCCAGGATGTGGCGAGCGAAAGTGTCAGACTCTTACTGACTACTGAAAATGGTATTTTCAGTTGGATTTGCTGTATAAATTATGCAATTGTAGTTATTTATTGATTAATTAAAACTGTTTACATGACATTCGATCGTAAAAATAAACGTATCAGTTAATAAATTTTGCTTTTTTGTAAGAACAAGAAATAGATCGATTCACCCGATAATATGGATTAAGGAAATGAAATGAATTTGTTGTCTAGGATCTAACATTTAACGTGAATGATTAAAAATCTTTGTATGTATCTAATACTAAACTAGTAGTAGTTTACCAAACTAACTTTCGCACTTAACGGACATAATAGTCAGCTGTTATTATATAAATAATTATTTTGTACGATACAAATATTTTTATTGTACACCATAACAATTTAAAGTACCTACTACAATTCTTAAAAATGTGACACACATTTTTACTATGGGTGGTCTTATCACTGAACAGCAATGTATTATAGGTAACTTCTGGATAGATTCAGAGTAAATCTGAATATGGAGAAGGAGAGTCCTACACAACCCCTCTTTTTTTAAATATATTTAAATAAATACTATTCCGTCATGATTCTGGACAGAGCCTAAACTTAACCTAAGTGTCGTAGAGCCATGCTTCGGCACGAATGGGTCGGCTTGACCAGAATGATATCACGGCCTCACAGAAAACCAAAAAATTGTGTTTCGCCGTGTGAGTGAGGTTACCAGTGGCCCAATCCTTCCCCTACCCCAATCCGTTCCCTATCCCAAAATCTCCAAGTCCCTAATCCCCAAGAGGTCGACAACGCACTCGTAACTCCTCCGGGCGACGCTGATTGCTAACCATCAGGTAATTCGTTAGCTACCGACTACCGACCTATCACATAAAAAAAACCTATACCATATAAATAAATATGAAGATTTTGAGTTGAAGGAATCATCATCGCTATATAAGAGGAATTACATTTTATAAATTGCTAATATACTAGTACTATATAAGTGTAAGAGAGCCATGTTTCGGCTAGACTGGATTGACGCAAACCGACGTGGAACAACCACATAACTGACTTTCAACAAGTGAGTAAGGTTATCGGAGGTCCAATCCTTTTATTCCCCCCATCCTTTACCTATTCCTAAATTCCCAAAAGACGGGTAACGCATTTGTAACTCCTGTAGTGCTGCGGGTGCACATGCTTACCATCAGGTGACCCATCTAGTTATTAACCGACCTATCCTTTAAATAGAAATAAAATAAAATAAACGTAGTATGTACTAAAATGTCGATGACAACATGATTAAGAATGAATTAATAGCAGTAATAATGGGTAATAAACTTGAGTGATTTAATTTAAACGCACAATCGTGTGCAGATAATTTTCTTTTGGTTGTTAATGCCACACATGTTTTCCGTTTAAGTGCAAGTATGTATGTGTGTGCCTGGTTTTCACCAGACACTCTTAGATTAATAGGTACAAGTATTAAAAAGTATATTATGAAATCTTGTTCCCAAATCAAACTCGTTAAATATTTAGAAAATTAAAATGTAATTAAAATTAATAAAGAACTAAAGAACGACCACAAATTTAATTGTATTTAGAATAATATTTTTATAACTAAAATTATAATTCCAAATTCGAAATTTATTTAAACTAAATAGAATCGTTAATTTACTAAATTAATTCATAAAGAATAACTGTGTCTGTAATAAAGAGGATGATTTCGTCTATTAAAATATACAACTCATATAATTTTTGTTCCCAAACAAATGCCTTCCGATCCTGAACAAATTATAAATATTTTCAGCTATTCTATATCAGAGGCGCATCGCTAAAAATGGCGTGTGTTAATAAAGGAAGCGAATAACTAATCACTGTATAAAAAGTGTTTACAAATAAAAAAGTCGACAAAAAAGTAACAAAACACTATCTATTGTGTATACAAATGACAACGTGTTTGGAATATTATTATTCGAGGTACTGACGCCATAACAAAGGCAAAGGAAATTATGACTAAAGTATGTCAATTTTATTTTAATTCGGAAAGGATATGATT